TAATACATGTGCATAAGCAATCATTTATTTCCTAAAGTTTGTCAAAATCAATAAATGCCAGAATTTGTTATATTACTATCTATTAAAACTTAATAATATCATAAATATTTAAAATGGGTACATGAATGTAAATTACCGTAACAAAGTTTTGATCTCTGCAATAGAGAAAGAAAAGCCAATTTATCAGAACCAAGTCCATCATATTTGGTAAGTTACTATTCAAACAGCAGAGATGATTATTAAATAAGTATCCAATCGAGCTTCAAATAAATAACTCCACAAAATCTAAGTCAGATGAACTTGTATAATAAACATAAATTCAAAGAAAAATTCAACATTGAAAACCTTTTTTGAGTTAACATCCTTAGGCCTGATTTGCTTTTTCCTTATTATCTACTAGATATACAGTATAATTTGCCACAATTAAAAGGGGAAAATAAAAGAAATATAGCTGGCAAAATCAGTGAATAAGGTCACTGTTCCAAAATATTACCAACTGCTTAATAAATATTTATAGATTATAATATTCTTTTTTCGAAGTATTTTTTACTTTAAAAACTATTATTATTATTTATATCATTTTGTGCCTTTTTCCATCTCAATCGTAATCCCATGGACTTCCCACCACCAATTCAGATTACAATATTCTTAGCCAGAGAACATGTAAGTTTGCTATTGGAAAAACTGTAAACTACTTTTTATAATACACACTACTTACTTTTATAAGTGTAGACACCACTTCAAATGATCCAACCACCAAAAGTATAGGGGCTATTACAATGAGAGGAAGTAACGAATATCCTATAACTCCCAGAACTTGGCCATATGCAACCTGTGAATTTTCAAATGTTAAATAAAAATCAGACACTATTTTTAATTAGTATTGATTTAATCATTGTTGATCATATATTCTTTGTTGTACTTACATAAATGTGCAAACTAAGATGAATAAAATTCATACCCATTATATTTAAAATTGTCATTTAGTCTATGCTCCTGGACAGTCTCACCAAATAATTCTGAGTTTCACTTACTGACAATTTTCTTATGACACCTAATCTATATTCCCAGTCCTTCTCTCTTAAGGGTCAGATTTATATATCTAATTACCTTTAGTCTATCTCTATAGTACTTTGTCACTACTTCCTTAAACTTTAGGAGGATTGCTTTAAGAGATCCTAACCACTTAACTAAGATGAAAAGTTCAAGGTCTAGAGATTTGTGGAAGGACTTACATACAATAACCCTATGAAGTATAAGCACATCTCAGAGATATTACTAGTTTTGTTCCAGGCCCTGCAATAAAGTCAATGTTTATTGCAATAAAGTCAATGTTTATTGCAATAAAGCAAGCTACATGAATTTTTGGTTTGCCAGTGCATGAGAAAGTTATATTTACGCTAAACTGTCTTCTATTATAGTGTAAAATAGCATTATGTCTAAAAAGACCAAATATATAGATCTTAACTAAATAAAATTTACTCTTTAGAAAAATGTGGTAAATACCATCTGAGCCTTCAGAAAAGCATAATCTTTTTGCTGGTGGAAAAAGAACAAAATGCCCATTTGCAAAACTTAATAAAGTGGAACACACATAAAAAAAAGGTTTTATGCCTGTAGCTACTATTCTCCCAACATGAAGAAACTGATTTTTAGATAAAAGTGCTTTGCTCTAAAGAGCAAAGCAATTGGTAAAATCATTCAAATTAAGATCTAGTCTCTTAACTCTTGAATCTCTTAAAGTGACAAAATTATTTAGCAGTATCTATTCTCACAAAAATATTACACAAAGCTGTTGACTAAAATGTAAGAAATAATATGTCTGTGGGGTCTCCGTGATGGCACAGGGGTTAAAGTCTCAGCACTATCAAGCTATCTATCACCACCTAGACGGTGGCCTGAGTTATATGCAGCATGAGTTTGATCCCCAGTCAGGGAGCTGACACACATGGCACAGCAGACCTCTTTTGTCTTTCCTGCTGCTCCCCTTAGCAGTGTATTTCAGTAGACCTGCCTGTTTTGCTCCCCACTGTCTCTGGTGAATTCACTCCTTGCACATCTGGCCTGTACCCCAATTCTTCTATGCAAAAATAAATAATCTTTTTAAAAAAGATCACACCAATGAAAATCTTAGTGAATTATGGTATGAAAAGTTCACTGACATGGTTTGAGATTCCTCACTGCAACAAACATTTAAGAAACTTATTATTTGCTGAGTACAGAAAGAATATCCATAGTTATCCAAAAAGGTTATTAAATATGGTTTCTTTTCAATAACATATTTGTTCAAGGTCTTAGTATTTTTATACATTATAACCAAAAGAGCTTCCACTAAGCCAAACATTAAAGTGACTTGCAAAAATGTAAAGTAATACCACTCTACTCATGATCAAGAAGATGTGGTGTATATATACAATGTAGTATAACTCAGCAATCAAAAAAGATAAACTCATGCCATTTGCAGCAGCATAGATAGAGTTGGAAGGGATTAGACTAAGTGAAGTAAGTGAAAGGGAAAAACAAAAATATTGATGGCCTCACTTATAGGGAAATAAATATAGGGAAACCAAAGAAAGGATCAGGAAAAACAGATTTGCAGGTAAACCATAGATCTGAAGCATACATGAGGGGATGGGCAGGGAGAGAGGTCAAACAGGGGAGGGAAGAGCAAAGCAACTGTGGTGATGGTCATAGGTGCCACACTGGTGGGAATTACGGGTACTACACATAAGGGGATAATCAAATATTGCACAAAAATGAACAATGATGCAAAAAAAAAAAAATCCTAAAAACAAACACACAAAGAAAATAATACCCAAATTAAGGGCAACGAATAACACACTATTTAGTGACTTTTTGTTGTTTTTTATTTAAATATTTATTTATTTTTGTATATAAAACTGGGGTACAGGTCAGAGGTATATGTGTGGGGAGGGGGGAGGCTTCATCAGCAAGAGTGGGGAATAGAACATGCAGACTGACTGAAATACACTGCTAAGGGGAGCAGTGGGCAAGATAGGAGAGATCTGCTGTGCCATGTGGGTCAGCTCCCTGCCTGGGGATCAAACTCATGCTGCAGTGGCTGCAGATAGCTTCATAATGTGGTGCTTTAACCCCTTGTGCCAATAGGGAGGGCCCTGACTTTTTTCTTTTGAAAAACATTGCTTTTATTCTTTAAAAAGTTTTAAATTAAGATATATTTGGTTTATTTTTATTTTTAAAAAGAATAACTATATAGCTAACATTTTAGTTTTAACTTTTAAAATGGTAAACATTGATAAAAATGTAACCTGTATAAAGATAGATCTCTGGGGACTGGGATCTAAAAGTTTGAGAATTATATTAGAATAAACTATGCTTTAAATTACTTGTGAAAAGCTCTAAATTACTTGTGAATGGAGTGAAATCTTTTCATTTCTTCTAACATTTATTGAGTACACAATACTAGTATGTTGATCATCTTAAAGGAAGTAACACAACTTTTAACAAAATAGTTATATCATAAATACAGCTACAGATGGTGTCTGTGATATCAGAAATAAAGGTTACAATAAAAAACAAAGTCTATTTTAAAAATTAACTACTTACTTCTCCACCAAGAACTCTGGCCAGTAAGAAAATTGTTAGTGAGCCAAATATCCAAATAGTTATAATCCATGAGACGACCTTAAGGAAATAAAATTCATGCAATTAATATCTTTGTGCCAAGTTAGTTGAGAATTTCCTATAAACACAATTCTCTGCCATAGTAAGATTGTTTGTTCTAAAACTCTGATCAGTAAGACTATTAAAGGGTTCTCAGGTTTTCAAACCCTAACAATAATACAAAATGTAATACCATTTTATATCCAAGTTACAAATACAGCAATGATCATTGCCTAAGGGCATCTTAGTACTTCAAGATCTTTGTCAAAAGGTTACTATAAAAAAAGAGAACAAAGTGTTTATTTCCACTGCCCTAGATAATAGCATTGTACAAACAAATCCATCCCTAACCAAATTATCAATTTCTCAGGGGTTCTTTATTATTTACATTAATACTACCTTTATCTAAATAATAGACTATGGAAGACTTTCTGACAATTTTCATTCCTGAGACTTCGTGCAATAATACCACATGCATATATTTCTAAGTTCTATTTGCTTAGAGCATCTAGAAAGAATGATACTCCAGTAGCAACATAGCACATCTAATTGTCCAGAAACTGATTCTCAAATATCCCCTCCCCCCCCCCAAAAAAAGGAACCAGTACTCATTAGAAAAATTTCAGGGCTGGAGAAGGGAAACTTATTGATGAACCCGGAACAACTCTCTGTGGAGTCAAAGGACAGGAAGTTGAGAATCTCCTACAAAGGCAAGTCTCTGTCACGTAAGATAGTTTGGTATAGAATTTCAGATTAGCAAGAGTTTTGAGGGGTTCTCAGGTTTCCTTTAAAACCCTAACAGTAATACAAAATGTAACATTATTTTATATCCAAATTACAAATGTAGCAATGATCAACTGTCTAACAGAATTGATCTAACAGAATGGGAATACCTCCAAAAGAAAAAAAAAAAACACAAATTATTCTGAAGGAGCTTTCTGCATCTTAAAGTAGAATAACCTGAGCAATAAAATAAATATTGGATTATAATCCAGGAAACAAATATCCACGGGTTGATACTATGTGAGTAAATGTATGATCAAATTATGGAAAAAACCTACTCCTTGGCAAATACCATGTGGAAGCAATGAGGAAAACAGAAAATCACCATCAGTAAACAATTGAGGCATGCAAGCTCTCTATCAATTTTTGTGGGCCTAAGTTGATGACAAATAATATGTTTATATAATCAATAGGTATTTATTAATTAAAAAGGGAAAAATAGGAACTTTTCAATGGAGGAAATGGGCAGACAGGACCAAATAACATAACCAACTGATTGATGTCAACTGCACCAGTCGTAAGATATAGCAAGATCATGTACTTCTTGACTGCATGTAAGGAAGTTAAAAATGTCACATCTATGGTATTCTACCCTCAAATTCATACCCCCAAACTAATTATAAGAAATATCAAGCAATATCGAATTGAGTAACAGTCTATGAAGGCAATAGACTTATATTTTTAGTGCTGGAAACTTCTGTTCAAGTGAAGAGTATAATATAAAACAGATAAAATCAGAGATGTTCTAGATGAATTCCAGGTAGGCAGGAGACCAAAGCTCATATTCAATTTCTTCACTGGACCTTACACTTCCAACAGAATACCTGACATAAACTGATCTAAGATAAATATTAATAGGGCTAGGATTATGTTACAAAGAATTTTACTTTGGGGAGATTATCCTGGATTATCCAGGTAAGCACCCAATGTAATCCCAACTATCCTTTACATGGGAGGCAGAGGGAGATCTGCCTATAGAAGAAAAGGTGATGTGACCATGGAGACAGAGGTTATAGTGATGCAGCTGAAAGTCAAGAAATGCCAACAGCCTCCATAGCAAGAAAAGGTAAACACCAAATTTTGCCCAATCCTGCTGATATTTTGATGTTAGCCTTTATGACTCATTTTGAATTTCTGACTTCCAGAACTGTAAAAGAATAACTATGCATTGTTTTTAAGTCAGTACTGGAAATTTATTACAGCAATAACAAGAAACTAACCCATTTCCAAATTACTCTGGTATAAAGAATTTTTTTTATTTTTTACTCCTTTAAAGTCCTGAACTAGGGATGAGGGAATTATGTATATATGTTGTATTTTAATGATAAAGGACAAAATATATAAAAAACAAACACTAATGGAATCCTTGTCATTTGGAAAGATAAGTCTATGAAGCTTCTAGTTATTTAATTAAGAACAGTTCTAGGGATGAAAAAGCAAGAATAACTAAAGGTAAAGCATTTCTCAAACATAATAACAATTAATATTTTATTATCTTAATTTTAAAGCCCTTAAAATATCCAGAACTTGTATACTTACCCTAAATTGTCCATATAATGATATCATGGAAAAGAAAAGAACAACAGCCAAAGGACCCCAAAAGTCAGGATTGTCTCTCACCACTTGTCTATTAAAACCAAGTGATGGCATTGGCATCAAAACACATCGAATTTTGTAGTAAATATCCTTTAGATCGATATCCAACTCTTCCCTAAAATTTTAAAACAAAAATTCTTAAAATGTATACACTTCTGAATATTGATGACAGCTGAAACAGAATTTAAGAAAAGTTTAAATATGACAGCATAGTCCCCACAGGTCAACAAAACATCTGCATTTGAAGTACTGAATCTCAATTATTCAAAGGTGTTCATTTTCAATATCTCTAAAACTAGGATGCATATTACAATTACTGTTGTTTGTTGTAAAACCAAGTACTTTGAAGAATTACCTTTCCTTTTCTCAGAATCCTGGAGGTTTTACTGATTTGGGACAACTTTAAATAAATTTCTCTTCTCATGTAACCCTACATGAGAATCTGTGGGGTTCACATTATCTTTGGGAAATTTTTCTTCCAGTACCATCCAGTGTCAAACTGTGACAAGCAAACTTCCTTGCTGTCTTGTTTTTGTATAGTGGGTCATTTCTCATTTATTTTTTACACCAAGGAGATAGCCTTTTGCTGTCCTACTTTATGCTATCTGAAGTACTTTTTTCTTTCTTATTCATACATGCCAAAAAATTATTCAATAGTCAAATGTCTTAGATTTGATGAATTATGGCATGTTAACATTAGGAAACTTGGTTGTTTTAGCACTTGGTCTACCAATAATTACTACAGAGAGAATAAATTGGTAATTTCTTAACTTTATATAAAGATAGAGGTTCTTCTTTCCAGAATTGTTAAATTCTTTTGTCTTTTTTTCCCCAAATAATATGTAAGTCACTTAAAAATGTCAAGTTCTTTGATGAACGTAAAAGGGCTTCTCTGTGTACAGCTAGAGCAAATTTCTACATAAGAAACATTTTGGAGAAGTCACCTTTTTTGAAGTTTGAGTCTATTTTATAGTGTATTTCTACAGCGAGCAGCCAAACACCAAGCATTTTTTTTACTTTAATAGCATGTTTGCTTAGATAGTTATAGACTGAGATCTGTCTTATGAATTTGGGAGTATTTTTGCATTTATCTATGATATGAAATCACTGAAGCTTTAAATTTTTACCATTCAACTGATTTAAAATATTCTCTCATGATTTCAAATTACTAGTGAAACTGGAGTCTCCCTGGTGGCCTTTGGATAAGGCACTATCATTGCTATGACCTGAGTTTGATCAGGGAGTAACCACACACAGAATAGCAGACCTCTCCTGTCTTGTCAGTCATTTCCCTTTAGCAGTATATTTCAATAAATCTGCCTGTTTTCCCATTCTGACTCTGAATCCTCTCAACCTCCATACCTCTGTCCTACACCCAGTTCTCCTATGTAGAAGGAAAAAAAAATATTAAAGATGTTCAAACAAAAGGTTAAGATTTTCCATATAAGAAAATAATCCCACAGACCAGTTCTAAAAACTGAAAAAAAAAAAAAAAAAACCATATTATTTTTACATACAAAAGTGGCTTGTTATCTTCAGGATCATCATCTTCAACTTCCAAAAGCCAGCCATATCCTCTTTGCCTAAGAAATGTAGTAGCTGTAGATTCTTTGATAAAATCTCCACCAAGGTTTAATTTGACATCTGGGGATGCTATTGAACCACTCAGATCTTAGGAGAAAAGATGAGAATAACTATAAATTAAGGTAAAATATGTGAATGTTAACCAACATGAGCAAATATTTGACTAAGAAAGTAAATACTGAAGATTTCTTAACTATGAACATCTGCCATTGCATACAGTCTTCATATCTACTTGTTGACAGATATAAAAAAATCTTTTATTTTACAATAAAGTCAAAGATTAGAAGTGAAGCTACATGAAGTCTTCATAACCAATTAGCTAGACTGATATCAAAGTCTAGACTTGTAACAATAACTAAAATTTGGGGCCTCCCTGGTGGAGCATGGGGGTAAGCACAAACTATAAAGCTCTCCACAACCACTGTAGCACAAGTTCAACCCCTCGCCGGGGAGCTGACCCAGTCTCACCTGCGGTTTCACCCGCTGCTCCACTCAGCAGTGCATTTCAATATACCTGCCTGTTGGGTTCCCCAGTCTGTCTCTGGTGAATCCTCTCACAGCCCCCTGGAGCTCTGGCCTGTACCACAGTTCTTGTATGCATAAATAAGTATGCATAATAAATCATTTTTAAAAACTCTAAAATTTAAATGGGAGAATATACAAACTATAATAATGACATCATTTTGGATTACCTTCATTATTAGATTATTTAATCATGCACTTTAGAGAAAAAGTGACATGAATTTTTTTAAAGGAATTACATTTATATACACAAACCATTAGACATAATTTATTTGCTAAAGGAAAATCATCAATAACTGTCCTCTACATTCTCATATATTTACTCATAGTTCATTCATTTAAATCATAAAAAATTTATGCTAAGTGTTTGTATACTTAGATCTAGATAAATCTGACTAGCAAGAGTTCACCACTGTTTCAGCTAACTCTTTTCTTTATATAATTATATAAAGTTCAACTTTAGTTTGGCAGAAATAAAGGACTTTTTTGTTTATTTTTAAGGCCAGCTCTAAGAAAAGATGAAGACATTCAGTTATCCACATTATAAAATAAACTCCATTTATGATCTACACAGCATAACCTTAAAGGTTACAGTAATCAGAGAAGTACAAATACCACATTCTCTAGGCCAAAAAAAATTGGGAGTAGTAATGGACCTGCTTCCAATCATACAGGCATGGAGAAGGAAAAAAATACTTAAGTAGGCAGACAATATGTAGTAGGAAACAACATCAATGCTGTTAACTAGAAGTCATAAGATGGAGTAGTATTTTAGGAAAAACAATTTTGGCAAAAGCAAACCAGAACACTCTTAACACAGATTTTCCTTCCATGGTGACAACAGAGTTTACTTTGCACATAAAATAAATTCTAGGATAGCTTGTGGCTTCAACTTCAATCATTAAGTGGCATAGCTATGAGTCATATTGTGGTCTAGTTGTGACAGCTTTTATGATTAATTGTAATTTGCTTTAGTAAGCTAAGGTTTAGTTTATGAACTGATTAATATAGCAAGTCATTAATGTATTAGGGTTTCTGGTTTCCTATTCCAAGTTCTTTCCAGGTTTAACACTAGATGATTCTAGAAAGCTTTTATAAGGAAGTTTTTTAGTTGTACAAGTACTTTTTAATTCACTGTTCTTCCCTAAAGTTTAAAAATGTAGTCCCTGTATATTTTAACTGTTTTAGAATATGTGATTATTCTTTAACATTTACTTTGTTTCTTTGTATTAATCTAAGTTGAAAATGAAAGAATTGAAATTTAACTAATACCCCATTTCCAAAAAGTACAAAAGCATTTAACAAAAGGAGGCGTTTAGATCGGGACATCACTAGTACAGCAATGACAATAAAGTATTGCAATTATGAGGCAGGAAAAGACCCTAACAACTGTTTCCTGACCTCTTATAGTCCTTAATCTAAACTAAAAAAGGGTATGTAATTATAGGTTAAGGAGTGTAGCAACAAAGAATTCTATCAGTTTGTCATAGGATATGACAAGTCAAAATCTCAAAAAGGTATCTTTAGCTTACAATTTCCTATTTTCCATTCCCTACAAATTTGGAAAATTAATCTTGAACATATTAACACATGCAGGAATTCCAGCAAGAGTAGTTTGCCATTACTCCTCCAGTACAACCTAGACACAACTAGATGTTAGAAAAAAATAGGAAAAAAACCCACAACTGATAGTCTGTAAGCAAGTTAACAAGGATAATGTTAGAGAACAAAAAGAAAGACTGAAAATCACTCCAGCGGTTATCACATCACTTACAACCTAAGAGCCAGCCAGCCTGACTGTCAACTCTAGGTAGGTACCCAGAATTATGAAACACTTTTAAAATTAATTCTTATTACACTGTGCATAATATTCTTGTCATTTCTTAACTAAAAAACTATAAAATTGACACTACGCATGGAATTAAGAGAAAATAATCTTTGCCAAAATCTTTTGCACTGAGTTCAGAGTAAAGAAGAATATTAGGAAGTTTCAAGTTTTGCTGTAAGCAGAGCTGCACTTCGAAAAACTGCAGAACAAAATTTATTAAGAGTAATTTTCCTCCCCTTTCTACTCTACCCTATGTCTCAGTAAGGGATCCTTTCTCTGAATTTTCTCCTCAAAGAGTAATTTTCCTCCCCTTTCTACTCTACCCTATTTATGTCTAACTGAGGGATCCTTTCTCTGAATTTTCTCCTCAGGCTAAGAA